AAAAAAAATATACTCATATTATATACTGAGTATAATTTCTTTATTTATATATATATATATATATATATATATATATATATATTATTTTGGGGTGAAATACAACCTTTGTAAAATTCACCCAGGTATAGTGATACAGGAGAATTAAGATATTGCTCATTCTTTCTTGAATATAATCCACAATAATACTCACACATTTATAAAAACAAAACAGCCTTTCCACATAATTCCTGCAGGAGGGTGTAAATGAATTCAGGACGTGATGTGTTACTCTAAAATGTACTGAACCAGACAAACATATTTGTAAATCCTTATTCAATAAAGTTTCAAAATGGCGGCACTATAAATTATGACAGTAAAACCACCAAAGAAATGATGGTGTAACTTGATCATACATTTATGTCTGCTTACACTACTTAGTAGCTACATAAAACCCTTTAAAACAGGCCAGAGCAAACGAATAACCAGTTTTTGAATAGTCACATCCTGTGGGGGGCCGACATGAGAACTTACTGAGCATCTGATGAGATCAGAAGATGAATGTGCAGACTTCTAAGGGCCTAGTGCAAATGCATGCTTGAATCGTTCAGTCTTTTTACTGTGCGTCAGAATCCACCGGGCCAAAGAAGGAGCTGTATTAGGAGTAAGAGCTGAAGAAATAGCACAGATGAGATGGTTGGGATGTGGACGACTCCACTATTGTGCGCACCCGGTTTGGGTCTGGAGTTGGGGGGCTGGATTGGGATAATGGCTTCCCGTGGTGGAATTCGTACATGGACTTCCTTTTTAGTGAGCACTGTAGGAAGAAGTAAGAAAAATGAACAAAATGTGTAAGAATTAGGTAGATATCACATTTAAACAAGATTTTCAATGCGATGCAATAGAAGAACAATTTTGAGTTCTTCAAAGAACCATTTTCTCTCAGTGTGAAGAAACTTTTACCACTATAAAGGACCTTTAAGGGTGTAGCGATGCAATAGAAGAACCATTTGGGGTTTTCAGATACTTAAGTGACCCTGTTTTAACCTCTCTTTGCCAGTGACTGCAGAACTGGCTCATACCAGATTCTGTAGCAATCTGTGATATTATTTACATATCTTGTCGGTATCTACATCCTGTCTTGAATGAATGAATGAATGATGCATTTATATAGCGCTTTATTGTGTATTGTTGTACACCCAAAGCGCTTTACAATCATATGGGGGGTCTCTCCTTAAAATAATGAATCCCCTGGTGTAAAAATGAAATATATTTGTGAAATAACTTAAACATAAAAGTTTTTAAAACATAATATTAGCATTGCTACAACTGTGTATAAGTTTATTTATATCAGCAAGTCAGAAACCAGAAACATAAAGAGTTATCATTGATGTAACAGTCATTTATTTAAATAAATTAGGAAAAAATAAGCATAAAAAATTTACATGCACTACCATGTGTAAGATTTTTAAAATAGAAATGAATCCTTTCATTAACCAGGCTCAATCCTGCTTAGCTTCAGTGGGCAACTAGTCTTGGGCTGCAGGGTGATATGGCTGTGGCCTTCATCATCAGCACTTTGCTTAAAGAATAGATAGCATATAACCTAGCAAGTTGACACTTAGGCAGCCACTATAAATACCC